TCTATTATATTCTATATTCTCTATTCCATTCTATTCTCTATTCTCTATTCTATTCTCTATTCTATTCTCTATTCTATTCTCTATTCTATTCTCTATTCTATTTTATTCTATTCTCCTATTTTATTCTATTCCATTTTCTATATTCTATTTTATTATATATTCTCTATTCTAGTCTATTCTATATTCTCTATTCTATTCTATATTTATTCTCTATTCTGTTCTATATTCTGTTCTCTATTCTCCTTTTCTATTTCTATTTCTATTCTATCGGTTGGGGGTACTCAGAAGAGCTGGTAGAAGAGGCGTCGTAGCCTCCTTTGAATCCATCCCGGCCTATTTTTATTTAGGTAACCAAAGACGTCATTCGAGAATTTGCTGCAGATGGAGTCAAGTATCTCGAACTAAGGAGCACGCCCAGGGAGGAGAAAAGCACAGGTAACTCTCCTCGTCGCTTCTCCAAGTCGCCTCCTCTTCCTGAAATGTCCTCTCGGCTGGCTTTGAAGGAAACCATCTCCAGAGGTACATCTCCAATGTGTTCCTTGTTGGCAGCCGGAAATGATCTGTTTTCCCTCGTTTGCAGGCATGACCAAACGGACCTACGTGGAAGCTGTCCTCGAGGGCATCAAGCAGAGTCAGGAAGAGGGACTGGACATAGATGTGAGGTACGTTAGATCCTCCATCATTCCGAGTTCTCAAGAGTCCAGTTTCACGTTGCAAAATTGCTTTGTTTGGGGCATTGAGTGAAACCCAGGATGTGTTTTTTTCAGCGACTACGGCTGAATCGTAGCTTACCACACATAATGCCCAAGTCGACCAGTTGGTAACACCCAATTCCCAGCAGAGACTGGACAGAATTCACACAAGACGCCCCCCTATTTCTTTTCCAGCGGAGAAATCCTCATATTGCTTTTCATCTCCATTTGCTTTAAAAAAACAACCATTTAACTGTTTATCGTGAGTCCAAAACACATTTGAAGACCCTTAGCCTCGGAAATATTCAGAAATCAATTAAAAATTTTAAATTTAAAACTGTCGTGGCCCGCCAGCGGAGCTGAACAGCAGATTCAGACAGGGAGGGAGGTTGGGGAGGAAGATGGCCCAGTCCTGGAGTCTGGGGAAGGCTCGGAGGAGGGCTCTGTGTTGGAGTCAGAGAGGGGGGCAGAGCCGTCTGCCAGTTATCAGCTGCTTTCAGAGTCAGACATCAGTGAGGCAGAAGAACAG